AGATTTTAAACAACCCTGTAATTTACTTTTATAAAATTTATTAAGTATTACAATTAATGATCGATAAGTGTTGGCTACATAATGTACATTACTTCAACCTCATCTTCCCACGCATAGAAAGAAACATCGATCCATATTTTTCTTCAATTAAATTATTTCATACAACACGTGCTACGTAATATATTTTATCATTTAAAATGTTAGTAAAATTTTATGCATATGTTGTACAGTGAATTGCAAAGATCTTTGCCAAAACCCTAGAATAAACACACAGCGATGGTGGTTCTATGTGAAATGGCGTACGATGCGCAAGCGAGATGCGCATAAATCATTCTCATAACAAACATCCAACAGTTCGCATCAAAGCGGCTGCGGCGTTTATTTGGTGTCGATAAATTAGTAACTGAAATACCGACATTTTAATTCGTATTATGCCTTTCATTCTTCATGAAAAATGGTTTTTGTTTGATTATATTTATAATCAATAGTTATATATAGTTTTTTAACTGAATGCAATGTTGTATTATGATATTCCAATACCATCACAGAAACAAAGAAATACAACTACAAATAATATAACACAGAATACATAAGTACTTAATTCATATTTTCTTTCGTGAAGTAAAATGTTGGTAGGTCAGGTATCAATTTACCGATATCAAATAAACGCCGCAGCCGCTTCGACACGAACCGCTGGACGGCTGATATCAAAATGATTTCTACGCATGTCGTATGCGCATTGTACGCCCTTTCACATAGAACCTTCACCACTGTGTGTTTGTGTTTGTTCTAGGGTTTCGGCAAAGATCGATGAGACTCTAAGTACATTACTTTGTTCTGAAAAACAACTTTTGAAGTATTTCCGGTTACTAGATAGTTACTGCGATACGATCTAACTCGTTAAAGACTAACTGTTAACAAATAGCATTGCGGAAAATATAGGGAAATTCGAAGAAACGAATGATGAAGAAATCTGGTACCGAATACGTACAGTCATCTCAAAACCTATCGAAATCGGTAAATTTTCGAACATAAAACATCACATTAAAGTTGTTTTAGAAAACATAGATTTAAATAATGCCAGTGACCACAAAAAGATGTTGACATTTATAATGTTTATACTAAATTTGATAAACATACAGAGACTAAAATAAATATCAATTAAACGAATAAATGCAAAATACAATATTCCATAATCTGAAAATAATCAAAATACGTTTACAGTGGTACAAAACTTATTCATTATTGTGACAGTTAATTTAACAGTAATATGGCTGGCAATTTTTGGCAAAGTTCACACCAGTAAGATATTCTTATAAAACTACTTTAAAATTTTATTTAAAAAAATAATCAAATACTTTTTATTTTTAGTCAACAATGGCTTCTCGATAAACAGGATTTAGTGCGAGAACGGCAACATGATCTTTCAATTTTCACAGAGGAAGAATATCAAAAATTATTCATCTTCTTCTCCAATCGTAAGCGAAACGTTCGATCAATCAATTAAACGAAAATGTTGTCAATGTGACTTAATATTGCGAAGATTAATGAATTATTTTAATTCTGAGTTCAATGTAACTGTATATTCATTATTTATACATATATATTTTCCTTTATTTACAAAATAATCTAAATAAAAGTCTTGTATATTTTTCAGTAATACAAGTGTTGGGTGAACAATTGAAACTTAGACAACAAGTTATAGCTACAGCAACTGTTTATTTTAAAAGATTTTATGCACGTAATAGTTTAAAATGTATAGATCCTTTGTTATTAGCACCTACATCAGTTTTTTTAGCTTCAAAAGTAGAAGAATTTGGAGTTATTTCTCATAACAGATTAATTGCAGCTTGTCAAACAGTAGGTATGTAATTATATGTATATATTTTGTAAGATAAAGAAATATATAATACATTAATTTACTTAATGTTATTTCAGTTAAAAATAAATTCAATTATGCCTATTCACAAGAATTTCCTTATCGTGGGAGCCATATTTCAGAATGTGAATTTTATCTTTTGGAGCATCTAGATTGTTGTTTAATAGTATATCAGCCATATCGGCCTTTATTGACCCTTATTCAAGATGTAGGTCCAGATGAACAATTATTAACACTTGCTTGGCGCATAATTAATGACAGTTTACGTACAGATGTATGTTTATTATATCCACCATATCAAATAGCTATTGGTAAGAAAATATAAAAAGTACCATAATGTAGTAAAATGTAATCAAAACATTGTAGTTTAAAAGATATAAACATTATATCAACAAAAATATTTTTAGGATGTTTACAAATAGCTTGTGTTATATTGCAAAAGGATTTAAAATCATGGTTTGCTGAGCTCAATGCTGATATGGAAAAAATTCAAGAAATTGCACGTTATATCATTAATTTATATGAACTATGGAAAACATATGATGAAAAGAAAGAAATTCAAGGTTTACTATCTAAAATGCCAAAACCAACACCATCACCACCACAGCACTGACAGCAAGCTCTTTTATCATCTAGTATTTGGGACTGATATTCTATAACAAAAGTGAACATTTTACTTTTGTTAAGTATGTTTAAGTCAATAATGAATTGGCGTAATTTCCATTTTTATATTAACTTCGTCATATTTTTACCATAATTTTCCTGACAAATG